ACGCCGGGATGTCTCGCGCTGCTGTGGATGAGGCTCACCCTCAGGCTTTGGCCCCTTATTTTAGAATACTGTGGTAATTCATATACTTTCAGTATTTTATAAATAACGTACTTCTGGGGGAGCTCCTTAGCCGTCTGTTTATCGTTGCTTTCCTCTTTGGATTATTTGCTGCCCCTTTCCGTGTTGTGTTCTCCTGCGTGAGGCTGGATGGCTGATCTCTCCCTGTCACTCCTTGGTGCCTGAGTGGGACTCCCTGGCTGTGAACGAGGAGCAGCTTTGTTCCTGGTGGGGTGGATTTCCTCTGTCTTCCTTTATCAGCCCCAGTTTCTGCCTCCCTTTTCTCAGTTATACTTCTTTTCCTTTTCTTCTTTCCTGTCTCCATTCCTCTGCCATAGGGCAGACCTAATAAAGGATTTCAGCTTCTAAAAAGCACCTAGTGCCCAAACCTTCATCCGTCCTTGATAAAACACATCACCTGCCTATGGTTTACACATGCAGAGGGACAAGCAGAACCCATGGGCTGTGGACCAGGGGATGATAATACCACCAGTCCCTGTTGTAGGATTTTTGCAGGAGAATGATCGAAGCTCTGTGTTCAGCGTGGGTAGCCTGAGCCTGTTGGTGTGCCCGTGGGTGCAAGAAGTATCCCTCCAGGGGCTTCAGCAGCGGAAGGACTTCAAGCCTCCTTCCCTTCCATGCTGTCCCAGCTTCACGTTCATCTCTTGGCCACCAGCGCCCCTCATTTGCTGCCATGCTTACCATTCATCCTTTCTCTTCTGTTTCTCCCATGGTGTCAGCTGCTTCTGCCTGTCCCCTTGCCTCGTGATATGGCCACCTCTGTGCTAGTGTTCTGGAAGATCTGCCTCACATCTTCAGCCTGTAGCCCCAAACTCTTGCCTCCCTTTCTTGTAGTAACCCCCCAGCCCGAGCAGAGCATTTTATAGGTTCTCCAGAAAATTCCCCTGCCTCCCCTTTGGGGGAAAGAGCTGGCAACTTTCAGCAGGGAAACATGGAGTTGTATTCAGTAGAGATAGTACTTAGGCCCTGAAGTCTGAAAATGTAGGAAGGTGGGAGACAACTGTGAGAAACAGAAATGCCAGAAAAATGTGGAGGATTTGGCAGCCCTGTCTTTATGTCTACTGTGTTACCCTGCAGAACAGAATTGAAGACAAACATATGAATGTGCTAACGTTGAAGTTATTGGATGCGAGTCTGCTACTGAATTATTTTGGGGGATTTTTTATTTTTTTGGTTTCAAGGTTGATTTTTTTGTCGTCATTCTGCTCTATTTAGTTTCTCTTCACATAATAGCAATGAAAAGTTACAGTGCTCCAGAACAACTCCAAAACTCTGTATTTAAAAATGCTCATTTGATATTAGCCTCCTTTGGCTAAAACCATATCAGATCTAACTGAATGCTGTCAGATTGCCATTGCTTTGTGTCACCAGCCCAGGAACCAGACTGTAGTCATGAACCTTTCAGGAAAAGCCATCGTAAAAACACTGGTGGGAAGCTGGTTAATACCAGTCTAATGCAGGTAAACAGATTATCTTAAGAGTACATACCTCTGCAACCCCTTTATAACTATATCACCTGGCCTACCCAGTCCTTTTAACCATTATTATGCTGCAAAGAGGGGAAAATTCAAAGTCCTTTGGATGCAAAAAGTTACCAAAAGTTGTCAGCAGGTGTCAAAACAGAGAGATGATTTCAAAATCAGCCTAATCGTTATTCAGTATTGTGCTTACCTCTGATAGGAGAGAATACTACTGTGTTCCTCCTTGTCTGAAACTGCTTACAGCTGCTCTCTGCAGTTCACATCACGCGTGCAGTCAAATCTTCTCATGTCTCCCACCACCAATACAAAGCTGTATACTGTGGGAATACCATTTACCATCATTGCAAATAATGCTGAACTCATTAAAAAGCTGTTAAAAGTGACCTAAAATTTATCTGTTCTAATTATTGACCTCAGTAGACTGACTGAACTCACAAAAAATAGTTTCAGTAATAAGAAGCAAAACAAAATGTTTTGGTGTAAATATGTAGAGTATCTTGCCCTGGAAGAAGGGAGTCAAACAGAGCGCAGACCTGAGCTGCTAACTCATTCAGACTGGTCTTTTTTTCTTGAATTGGAACTAAGTCGAACCATTACTTTGAAGTCTTGGCTGTATTTGATCCAGAACTGAACTGTTTCCTGCCTGCCTGCCTTCCTTCCCGCAAAGTGTCTCTAGCTACGGCTCTTAAATCCTGACCTCCCCCCATGCCAGCCCGCGTGGCCCGGGGTCCTGTTGGCAGCTGCATGGCAGCACTCTCTTGCAGTCTTTTCCCCTGCACTGAGATGTCATCCTGCACTGCTCTCGGTTGCTTTGGAGCTCCATGCATGGACCAGTGCAAGCCAGACCTTTCCTGCCTCTGGCATGAGGGACTCCCACTGCAGTGCCATGAGGTGGGGGGTGTGCACCTCCCTCGTGACGTGGGGCTGCAGGGTCCTTCCTGTGGGGCCCCTGCACGTGACCTGGCTCGAGTGGCCGTACGTGTGTATGCGTCTCTCCATACCTCATTGTGTGTATTGCTCTCTGTCTGCGCTGAGCGCTTTAAGCCCAGACTTTTGTGGGATTGAAGGGGCAGAAGCATGCGGAGCGGACGTCTCTCCTGATGCCCTGGGGCAGCCAGGACAGCACTGCAGACTGTGGTACAGCCCATCACACTCCCTCTACCTTCCCTTGCCCATGCCCAGGTTGGCGACGGGCTGCTCTGCACGCTGCTGCTGAAGAGGCTGCAGAGGGAAGGAGATGGGAACGCAGTCCAACCTCACGCTGAGAGTCTGCTCCTGTCCCGTAACCCATAAATCTTGACTTACAGTTAGGAGGTTCAGTATGAGCAAGTTTGAGGTGGTTCACCACTACCCAAACTCGTTAACAAATATTTACTGACCTCCAGCCAAGCTAAACTGCAATCATGCTATCGAACGTGGTAATTCTGCCCCTTCCCTGATGTGAAATTCAAGACCATGGAAGTGAAAATGAATGCTTTTTTCTTTATTGTGAGATGAATAAGGGCTGAGGCTTTGTGGTTTTCAAAACCTGGTTGTGATAAACATTGCCATGGCAATTAGACCATCTCAATGCACAAGGTGAGAGGGCGCTGGCTCTGTGGTCATCCTGGTCTTCCCGGGGCTTGTTGCCAGTGCGGATGCTAAAGCTCACCCAGGGGACTGTGCAGGCACCGGGTCCTCCCTGCTCAATGCAGAGCACCAGTCTGATTTTCATGCAGTTACCTGTGTTTTGCAACACAGAGCTATAAACATGTCAATAGAAACAGAGGAGTTTCTGAGTGGGCAGAAAATGGCGTGCTGCTGCATGCATACTGATATGCCTCTGTCTCTTTGGACTTCGCTTTTACTTAGCTTTCAAACTCGTATGAAACTCATTTATCTCCAGTGAAGGCTGCATGTGCTTTCTTCGTACTTCCAATCAGTTGTGCTGCTACAGCTTTTCTTAGTTTTCATGGACCTCATGGAAGGACCCTTGTCCGTCCAGGAGCTCGTGATCCATGTACCAGTTGCCTTGAGCAGGCGCAGACACACGCTGTCCTGTGGCGTCCTGTGCTGCACGTATCGCTTGGCTTTCAGGACCGTGCTGTGCTGTACATATCCCTTGCCATGGGGTATCCTCAGCTGGCTGATTGTAACGGAAGAGCCTGGAGGTGGCACCTACTTGGTACCAGTAGTGACACCACGAGCACGTCCTTGTCTTTATCTTGAGGTGAAGCAACATACTTTCATACAAACATCCAATTGAAAATCCTGTAAAAACTCTAAACACCACAATGCGGGTGAACCTCGCCCCCGACGGGAAGTCTGGGCAACATGCTGTCTGACACTGCATCAGCTCGGGATTCCAGCATCAGAAGGAATGTAAGATCTTGTAGCTTGCTGCCACCTTTCCTGAGATATTAATGAAGTAGTTACCTTTCTTGAGAGTGTTTGTCTTTCTTTTCTGCGGTCCACAAAGAACCAGCACCTCTTGGTGCAAAGCCGTAGGCCACTGATATTTGTGAATATAATTATAGATTTTGTAGAGAAAAGTCTGTTCCTAAATATATGCCCATCCCGTTAGGCCACCATTAATGCTGTACATCATTGAGTCTTAGTCAGTGTGATGTTGGGCTGTGTGGGAAGGAGTCCCAGGCTGAATCTATTTTTGACCTCTAATGGTTGATTTACAATGAGTTATAGTAGCAGAGTTCAAATGTTTGCTGGTTATTGCTGAGCTGGACTACTGTCAGGCAGCTTTAAAAATAAAACTTGCAATTCTAAGAGTATCATTGAAGTTCCTTAACAGAGCCGTGCTTGACCTTTCAGCAAATTCTCCGAATTTCCTGAACCGGCACTCACGGGCAGGGCTTGTGCAGCAGGGCGATGCCACCCAGCGTGGTTGCTGCTTAATGGGGCTATTGACCTCTCCTTGCTGGTTCTCTGCTTTTCATGAGACTCTTCATGTTGTGTTGCAGTGCTCAGGATCTTTAAATGTCTTCTTGGAGGAAACAATGGGAAACTAAATTGCCAGGCAGCAAGGAGCCTGCAGGAAACAAAAATTTATATGAAAAAGATAAATGAGCCACAAAATGTGATCAGCTGGTTCAAGTATCAGTCGTGTTGTGCTTGCAGAAGAGTGTCTGGGCTCTGCAATATCTATCCTGTTCCTCACAGAAGTTCAGTCTTCAGAAATTGGGGAGGAACGGGAGCCAAATTTGGCTGTCCTTTTTCAGAACTTCCCCAGGGTCAGTTTTGCCTGCACCTGGATCTGGCCCTATGGGCGGGCATGTAGGTTCGTACACTAACGATAATCTCAGCTGGGCTGCAGGAGCGTCTTCAAAAGAGTTTCCTTTCAAGGAAGCGCACAAGCCCTTGGCAGTTATGTCCAGATGTGACTCTGCTGTATATCTAATACTAATTAAATACTTGACAGGTGTTTTTTTTGGTTTTGTTTTGCAGGAAGAAATCATTCCTATTTTCAGCTCTGTATGCTGCCTTTATATTTGGTGGTCGGCACCTAATGAACAAACGAGCAAAATTTGAACTGAGGAAACCACTAGTGCTCTGGTCCCTGAGCCTTGCCGTCTTCAGGTAGGCATTTCTTCACACCAACTGCCTTTGACAGTAGTCCGTGAAGAGGTTTTGGGGTTCTTCACATACAACAGCACTGCTAATGCGACAACAAGCTCACCCAGAAATGGCATGTCTTTAGTTCTGCTATTCAGGGTTATGTCCTGATCCACTCCTCACCATTGAAGTGATCCCCTTTGACTTGCCAGATCATAAGGCATTTGAAAAGGAGAGAAATCAATAACCCTCTTGAAGAACAAAGGTGAAAATAAAGTGAGGACACGACAAAAAGTGCCTATCATTGCAATAAATTTAGCATACAAGCTACAAATGGAAATAAACTAAGATATTAGTCTTGTTCTCACTTACTAGTTAGCATTACGTTTATATGGGTGCATATATGGAATATTTAGTCAAGGGACTGATCTCCATTACAGTGAGGTAAACCTAAAGTCACTGCTTTGATGACTTTGAGGTAAATTACGCCACTGTCATTGAAATCAGAATATGGCTTCTGGTTATTCCATCGCAAAGAGCTTGTGGATGTAGCAAAAGGGTGGCTCCACAGGGAAGGGCTATTTTTTAGTGGTGCACATCTCTCTCGCTGTGTGTTGACTCTGTATCATCGAGTATGGGGAAAGTTAGGTTCAGATTCTTGATAGTTGCTGAAGTCAGGAGTAAAACTGACCAACCTGAATTCCACTTTTTCTGCTTAATATGCTAATTTTTAAGGAGGCTGAAGATAAACGAGTGAACGAACAAACACTTATAAAAATAGCCCTTACAAACACACAAACCTTTGGTACAATTTACTAATAACAGTACACAGAAGACCCAAGGATTATCCTTCATTTCAGTGCCTATTGGGAGTGTAAGTTATAGTTCACTCAACAGCACAGAAACTATTTGCAAACCGTTATCAAACACTGATACCTGTATCTTTTTCTAATATCAATATAATAACTACTGATTATATTAGTTCACAAGTACATAAAACAGGCTTGCTTACTGAGCGGCTGTGAATGGTGCATGATTCTTCACAGGATGGGACTAGAAACTCTCAGTTTCTACTGAGAGAGTAGTT